CGTTGTAAGGCTGTAACACTTCTTTCAGTACAGCCGATATCCCGCAAGCCGTGCGATCAACGATTGGTACAAAGCTATGAAATCTCTCGGTAGGTTTACCATCTTCCACAAACCGAAAAATCACAGCCAGTTGGGAAACGCACGTGATGTCAGTTGTCTCGTCAGACTGAATCGAAAGGAACTGGCAATTCTCAATTTCCAGAGCCAAATGTTGTAAATAAATTTTATACATTGAGTCGAGCAAATCATTTTGGATATCCGTAGATGTCCCTTTCGAAACAGTTGCGGCATCAAGATGATCTTTCAATACTGTATCTAGGGATGCGGTGTATTCCACCATATCCAAAAATACCCCTCTATTAGAAGAGCCAGCCCGTTCATCGTGCCCACGGAGGGACAGCTCGTGACAACCAATGAACTTCAAAACATCTATCAATCGACAGAGAACATGGCGGTTTTTCTCGACGTTTTGGTTGAGCCGACGAATAGAAACCGCGCGTCCTTCATCCAACTGTGCTGCAATATTAACATTTCCGAATGTTCGGTATTTTACTGCATTGTCCAGATGCTCCATAGAAGATTGATGATCCCTGGCACGCTCGGAAAGATGTTTAAGATCTCTAAAACCAAATTTACACCAACGTGAGTCACGGGCGGTAGCAAAAAGTAGGCAATAAAAACAAAAAAGTGCATTTTTGTCCTCGCTGTAACACAACCATTCGTGTTTTTTATACCAAGTTTCTGCGCAGAATGTACGCCGACGTTTTCCTCCGTCATGGGATTGTTCCAGTGAACAATTTTTTGGTTGATAAGGCCCAAGACGTTGTACCTCTAATTTTTGTTCCAGCGGCAGCTGCGAAAACGGAGTGCGAAGTAGTGCATCAACCTTATTCATTATGAGGTCTAAGGCTAAGAAATGCGTAGCCGGAAAGAAGTGAGGAGCTCAAAAGGAATGTGGAAAATCGAAAGCAAATAGACTAAAGGTCTCTAACTGATTCAAATAGCGAAACAAGCGACAAAAACGAAGGCGAGGAAACTATCAACTCTTCAAGCAACCAACGAACGAGAAGGAATGCGTGAATATGTCAACACGTTGTTGTAAGAAACATCGGCATTGTGTCGTCATAGTTTCGGGGCTAGCCCCGATGATTTAGTAAAAGAAACAGAAAACAAACGCGGCGAGTGGAAGATAAAAGAGAGAATACGCTATAGAATCAAACGCTGCGTTGTTTGCCCGCGGCGTAAAGAAGCACTCCATGTGTCGTCGTATTTTATTGTTTCCCGGACACGAGATACAGCATCGCAGAAGTCTGAAATACACGACTGCACAGACGCTCCATCCATTAGCCTTGACTGCAATGCGCCGTATAATACATCCACGTGATAGAATAGCGAGAAAAAATGAAAACTCACCATCTTCTAGCAGACGCTTTAGACCTGCCGCCTCCCTCACAGAGCGTTCGTCCCAAACCGGAGAGCTCTGAATGCCATTGAAACACTCAATGAGCTCAGACCTAACTTCGGACACGCCCTGCACCACGCGTGATTGGAAGTTCCAACGTGTTGGTGCACAAGCTGGGAGACGGCGGCTACATATCTGGCGAAGGAGGTCAGAGCGCTTCGGCGAAACGAAAAAAAAATGAAGAAAACCCCGAAACATTTGCAAAAAATATACGGACGAGAGGGGTATCAAGACAGATATTTTTATTAACGAGGTTAAATTGGTGTGCATAACAATGTAAAAAATGCGCATGAGGAAAATCTTCTTTTATATAAACTTGAACACCATGTTTCGACCCACTCATGACTGCCGCGCCGTCATAAGTTTGAGCTATCAATTTTGACTTCGCGTTGTAAGGCTGTAACACTTCTTTCAGTACAGCCGATATCCCGCAAGCCGTGCGATCAACGATTGGTACAAAGCTATGAAATCTCTCGGTAGGTTTACCATCTTCCACAAACCGAAAAATCACAGCCAGTTGGGAAACGCACGTGATGTCAGTTGTCTCGTCAGACTGAATCGAAAGGAACTGGCAATTCTCAATTTCCAGAGCCAAATGTTGTAAATAAATTTTATACATTGAGTCGAGCAAATCATTTTGGATATCCTTAGATGTCCCTTTCGAAACAGTTGCGGCATCAAGATGATCTTTCAATACTGTATCTAGGGATGCGGTGTATTCCACCATATCCAAAAATACCCCTCTATTAGAAGAGCCAGCCCGTTCATCGTGCCCACGGAGGGACAGCTCGTGACAACCAATGAACTTCAAAACATCTATCAATCGACAGAGAACATGGCGGTTTTTCTCAGCGTTTTGGTTGAGCCGACGAATAGAAACCGCGCGTCCTTCATCCAACTGTGCTGCAATATTAACATTTCCGAATGTTCGGTATTTTACTGCATTGTCCAGATGCTCCATAGAAGATTGATGATCCCTGGCACGCTCGGAAAGATGTTCAAGATCTCTAAAACCAAATTTACACCAACGTGAGTCACGGGCGGTAGCAAAAAGTAGGCAATAAAAACAAAAAAGTGCATTTTTGTCCTCGCTGTACCACAACCATTCGTGTTTTTTATACCAAGTTTCTGCGCAGAATGTACGCCGACGCTTTCCTCCGTCATGGGATTGTTCCAGTGAACAATTTTTTGGTTGATAAGACCCAAGACGTTGTACCTCTAATTTTTGTTCCAGCGGCAGCTGCGAAAACGGAGTGCGAAGTAGTGCATCAACCTTATTCATTATGAGGTCTAAGGCTAAGAAATGCGTAGCCGGAAAGAAGTGAGGAGCTCAAAAGGAATGTGGAAAATCGAAAGCAAATGGACTAAAGGTCTCTAACTGATTCAAATAGCGAAACAAGCGACAAAAACGAAGGCGAGGAAACTATCAACTCTTCAAGCAACCAACGAACGAGAAGGAATGCGTGAATATGTCAACACGTTGTTGTAAGAAACATCGGCATTGTGTCGTCATAATTTCGGGGCTAGCCCCGATGATTTAGTAAAAGAAACAGAAAACAAACGCGGCGAGTGGAAGATAAAAGAGAGAATACGATATACAATGAGCAACCGGGGCAAAATCGGCGTCGCCCCGTCGACGTTCGGCGAAGGCTTTGCGAGCGAAAAATGAACCATGTCGGGAGAATATGGCTAGTGTAGACAGTCAGTGCAACCGATATTGAGGTATTTTTCGAATATTTTTTATTATACCGAAAAAACAACCGGGGCATTGCCTCGGTTGGCCCTATTGACGCCCCGCCACTGCTAAAAACTCTCGGACATAAGCTAAAACAACGCTTTTTTATTTCGTCAAAAAGTATAACATGTCGCTATTAAAAGGAAATGGTAACCTCAAATTTGCCGTTCATCTTGGTTACTTTAATTTTTTTCATACGTGCTTCCACTTCTGCGTTTCTGTGCGCCACTGAGAGGTTTTGCTTTCGACATCACTCTGACAGCCTTCGTGATTTTGCCGGTGCGATCAAACCACAAGAGAGTGCCGACTTACTAGCAATATTCCGGTAATCTGATTACAACAATCTTTGCAAATTGTTTACAGACGTGCCTTGCTTCATTTGACATTAAATGATATCTCGCGACCTGCGTGTTTTCCCAAAAAATGTTGCATGTAAACCAAAAGCCAGGCGTTAAATGTTATAACATTGCTTTCGAATAATTTAGATCAAATATCATTTACGAATAATTTTATTACACCATTTTCCGAAATACAAAAGTTATATCGCAATACGCGAAAATCTGTCACATTTAAATTTCACTCTCAAAACATTACATTTTTTCGGTCCGTTTCTATCGTTCAAGATAGACGCACGTTTGTTCGAGTGTCTGTAGTATATTCGTCCCTAATAAACTTCAAAAAAGGTTGCCGCATCTGGCGAAGATAGTGACGTATTGAGTTTAATCAGGGCCAAGTCTGTGTAGATAATGATATGTAACGATAATCATAGAAAATGAATTCGTCTTTAGATGTTATTACCTAATAACTAAGTACACCATTTTCTGAAATACAAAGTTATATCGCGATACACGAAAATCTGTCACATTTGAATTTCACTCTCAAAAGATTACATATTTTCCGTCCGTTCCTACCGTTCAAGATAGACGCACGTTTGATCGAGTGTCTGTAGTATTTTAGTCACCGGTAAACTTAAAGAAAAGTTGCCGCATCTGGCGAAGATAGTGACGTATTGAGTTTAAATAAGGCCAAGTCTGGGTAGATGATGCTATGCAATGATAATCATAGAAAAGGAATTAGTCTTTAGATGTTATTATCTAACAACTAACTAGGAAATCGCGTTTACGGAAACTTGGTTTTACGAGTCTTGCTCGCACGAAATAAAAAGTGGATTTTAATTGATAGTGGTTAAATTTAATATTTTACAACGGCCGCGTGGATTGCAGTGGCCACACGCTGGTCCTATATCTAATTATTCTCAGCGGATATGTTTTAGTACACTCGGCAGACTAACATTGAAAATGATTTGACGCCGTTTCATATCTATTTTTGTATTTAACCGCTTACTATTAAAGTGTGTAAAGCGTGTCTTAATTTAGCATTTCAGTATTTAGGGATTATTGGAACAATTGAAGGCAAAAAATATTGTAATATTCCTAAATTTTATTGTCCTGGGAAATGCCTGTTTAGTATCAAATGAAATCCAAAGTTCAGGACATTTCCAAATAAATAATACATTTATAGTAATACATTTACAATTTTTTAACATCTAAATCCAGCCTTGAGGAAATTCCCACTATTTGAATAAGTATGAAAATAGAATAGGATTCGGTATTCTGGATTCGATTTTAATTATTCCAGAATAGTAAATTATTCTACATTGCCCATCCCTAATTATTAGGTAATTAAATGACTGTAATAAAAATACATCATGGCATACAGCTGTTTCAAATGACTTTCTTTGAACCCTTGGAACAGCCCAATAGAAACACGGGGATCACTCGAATGAGATTAATAAAACTGATACATAGTTCATAACTGTATTTTCCTAGAGACAGAAGGCAAAATTTATCCAATCCTTTGATTAAGTTAGCAACCAAGAGTCAAAATGTAAACAAGACTTTTCTATTGTCTATTGCAAGAAATACTTTGTTACATGAAATATTCTGCTGCAAGGATGAGCAACATTAATTGTTTTAGTCTACAGTCATGATTAGAATCTTACTGCAATATGGACAAGGCACTATTATTTCATTTTCAAGTGTTTAAAAACTGAATAATTTTGTCATATACTTTTATGCTTTTATGTTTTTATGGAAGCGAAGCCACAGAATTTTTTTCCTATTCCAATTATAACTCTCCCAGAAGGATAAATATTTTTGTTGATGATAGTGCAGTAGTTACTCATATACATGTATACTTAACATGATTATATAATGAACTGCACAATGTGCCCAGCACCAAGTGCAATTTTAGGAAGTCCTCATCTATCAGAATTGGAGTTTAGGATAGAATGAAGTAATTGAACTTTCCATGCGATGCGACCAATACCACTTCATTCATCTCAATTATACTAATCTAGCAAAGATTTGTTCTTTTCAGAGTTAAATTTTGATTTACTCTATCATTTCGACACAATCTTCCAGTTTGCTTGCTTCAACACATTTTACTCGCTTAGCATCTTGTTCTATTTCTTCACCAGAACCTAAATCTAACTTTCGCTTTCTATTTTCAAGAATATGACTATCAGTTTTGTTGTTATTCGAAATGACAGAGCTCAAATGACTTCCACCATCAGATTCCACGATGCAAACATCATCAAGGTCATTGAATTCCGATTCCTCCTTTTCTTTAGCAGTAGGCAATTGGACACCATCTTGTTGAAAAATTATACCAGTCTTATTGATAACCTGAATTTAAACAAATTTTTTTTTAGCAATTTACAGTGACGATATAGCATTTTTAGTCTGTCATGGCTTCCAAAAGAAAGTGTTCTTCGTTTTATTTTCTCGGATTTATAACACCGTTTTTCAGTCTTATTATTTATTCCTCCACTGACAGTCGTAAGTTGAATTTTTCAAAAAAATAACAAATAAATTCAGACAAACTACCTATAATTAAATCATCCTACAGTGGTAATAAAACCAAGTTTAAATATATATTTTTATTTACCAGAAACACAAATTATGCTATGCAGCAGACGCCTGCCCTAGATTGACCATGTGGCGCAAATACCAGAAATGGAACGTACCTCAAATTCTACATCCTCTGATAATTCTGTCGAATGCAAAATATTTATGATAAGTTTGAAGTTTTGCAGGAAATCATCTGCACACAATCGTGAACCGTTTTGAATACCAAACTCGCTCAGACTCTTTGGAAGACTATCATCACTCTCACCTTCTTCACTTGAAAGCAGTATAACTCCTGTGCCGTCGATATCAACATCAGGAGCTGACATACCCAGATATAATTTCAGGATTTTGTCCTTAAAGACACCAAGGGTCATGACCTTTGTGTCTAATCTCAAAGTGATCTCTGGCTTTTCAACACATACATAGCATGCTGGATTAGGCGGATCGAGAACGCATGGAGCTATTAATTTTTTCCAGGATTTGCAACTCGTGATACAAAAACATTCCGACATCTTTCGAATTCATTTTGTAAAATACACAATGCTTGCATAACAATCAACCCTGCGACAACCGCATTTGTGGTGGCTATAGCAGGAATTATATTTCCTGCCATAGATTTTATTTCAAAAATACTTTTCTGTGGAATTCCGAAAATTGCAGCCCGAATATTAGCAGCAGAAGACACAAATCTCATTGCAGTATCATCATCTTTATCCCATACAAGCATGTCACTGCTGCCTTCCTGGTGGAGTGAGTCTTTCAATAAAGTCAGACTATTTCCAAAAAGTTGCATATTCTCTTCAAGTGACATTATCATTTGTGAAGAAGTAGAATGTTTAGAATTATTTGCTTGTTGAATCCATTTGATGGGCAGGGGTGGCTTCCTTTTTTCCCACAATTTGTCCATTGACAATAGGTATTCAATATCTGACTGGAAAAGTTTATTGAATATTTTTTCAGGATCATAATCACAATCTTTAGCCCAAATCTTTGTGCTAACTTTTTCACTACTATCCGCAGCATCTTCTTCTAAGTCAGTTGTATCAGGAGAAACATTCTGATCTGCATCGTCTTCTCCAAAAAGTTGATTAAACAGATATTTTGCCCAAACTACACAATGAATAAGCTCAGAAGGAGTATTGCGAATGGTACAGCTGGGAAAAGTTTTTTGTCTCGGTTTTGGTGAACATTCATAGCACTCTGTTTCTCCTCTCTTAATAACATTAACCTGCCCCAGATAACCAGCAGATCCACTTTCAACAAGAGGTACCCCTGCAGCAAGGCATAATCTGTTTACATGATTCCTGGCCGCACGATTGTCCAGTGCATTAAGAACTATATCAAACTTTTTAAAATATTCCATGTTAAATGATGGGTTGAAAATCGAGGCATGGTGAGACAGTACATTTATATTTGGACGTAAAGCTGTTGCATTTTCATGTGCAACACGGGCCTTAGATTTACCTACATGTTTCTTCTGAAATAAAAATTGTCGGTTCAAGTTGCTAATGTCAATCGTGTCCAAATCTATAATCTCAAGGTGCTTGAAACCAATTAGTACAAGATTCTTTATCAATTCACAACCGATTCCTCCAGCTCCAATGACAAAAATCTTTGCATCATTAACAATGCTTTGTACATCTTTAGTTAAAGCCTGATCAGTTAGCTGATTGTTTGATTCCATAAATATATTTTAGTTAATAGGTAACATAAGTACTGCAATAAAAAAATTATTTTGAATGTTTATAATCATCAAAGGAAATTAATATAGACTACTGGACTCAGGGTTGTCCAAAACGAATCGAATATATTCGAATATCATAGTATTCGAATACCTTTTCGGCTGATTTTCGAATAATTCCGAATAGTAGCCACTTTTCGCCGTAAACGTGGTGTTTCGTTTCACGGGAATCTTCAAACGACCTTTTACGCTGTCTCGCGTATTGTAATGACGATGAAATAGAATCGGCACTTTGATTGTTTATGTTCTGTGCGACCGTACGTCGCATAGTGTTGCGACACATTTGCATGTTTGCGTAGGTGGACATTGCCGACATACGTCTACAAGGCTTTTAATTTACAAATTCATTTCCATCACGTCGAAAAATTGACAATTACCGCTTTTCTAGGCCCAATTTTCCGGCCTGATTTTTTTTTTGGGGGGGGCGTCTAATTGAGAAAGTATGTTTATTTTATTTCTATGTGGCCTGCTTATTAGTCTTCTCAAGCATGATTTGTGTAACCTTATATTTGGGTCTTAGGGTCTGCCAATCATGATATTTAATCGCAGGCCAGTCATCGTTACTTCAAAGAGAAACATGGCCACCGAGTGAAAGTTATTTGTGACTCTTTCGTTTTGCCGATTCAGCAGAACACGACAGGGACAGGAAAACACAGCTGTGAAATAACCCGTGGACGTACAGTGTAGTACTTATCACATTCCAAAATTATTTTAACATTCGGGTTAATAGGTTGTCCAAAATGATTGCCGCTTTACAACTTAAATTTACCGCTCAATTGTTAAAAATAGTTAATTCTGTGAGTATGATTCTACCAAACTAACATGATCTGGTTCTAAACATATAAAATTATCAGCGCATATCACAGGGACACAATTTTTCTACCAGTCTTATTGGAGGCCTATATGGAAAAAAAAAACTTTTTTGAGTGCTAAAAATAGACATCGTCCTATTTGCCATGTGGACTTATTAGCCGGGGAAATACGGTATTTATAGCCGTCATTGTTACAATATCCAATAAATTGGCACAAGTTGGAAAAACAAGTCGATTTATTAGAAAATAATTTCTGGCAAATAATTTTGATAACGATAGTTAAAAGTATCGATTCTTTACCAGGATGATTTTTTGTTGCGCAAAATAATCCAATCCATGACTGGTACCAGCATTTGAAATGTCATGTCGTATTAATTTAATTCCGTTCAACGTAACTCATGGTTGTATGGACAATCTGTCGACATAAAATGTGTGGTAAACTGACCGATATTATTAAATATTGATTCCTATTTTCATATTGAGAAAATAATGAAAGTATTAATACCAAATACCACGGGTATTTGTGGACATGAAATACGTGGTAAACTGCCCAATTATATTTAATTTTGGATTCATATTTACAAAATAATAAAACTATTATAATTCTAAAATACAACGGCGATCTGTGGACTTAGAATGTGTGGTAAACTACCCGATTATAAATAGTTTTTGATTCCTATTTTCATATTTATAAAATAATAAAAGAATTATTACTCAAACATACAACGGCGATCTGCGGACCTAAAATGTGTGGTAAAGTTTCCAAATAATAAAATTCTTGATTCGTATTTTTGTACTCACGAAAAAATTGTCACAAGTCGGAAAAATAACTCATACTTTATCCCGCTTTTTGGCAAATAATTTGGATAATGGTTGATATTTAAAAGTATGGGCGTTTTACTAGGATGATTTTGTGTTGAGCAAATATTCAAATCCATCACCGATACCACTATTGCCGTATTAATTTAATTCTGTTAACATGACTCAAGGTATATAAAATGTATACGGCAAATATGAAATGCCTGGTGATATAACTAGGTTGTAGATAGCAGTTATTCCATTGCTTATTGTATGGGAATTCCTACATACATTTAGATAAGCTTCAATTAGTGAATTTTATTTTCGAAGTATTCGGAATTACATATTTGAAAAAAATAATTTCGAATGTATTCTTAATAGTGAACTATTCGGTATTGGCCATCCCTGACTGGACTATGATAGGGTGGGAGGGGGGGGGGGGTTATTTGAGTAGTTTTTGACATTTGAACCGATGTAAAATCTGAGTGAAATCAATTCTCCGTGAAATTATGGTTTCATTGTAACATTCTGACTCTGTACTTCCTTGCATAACTGTTTGAGTCTTATTCAATGTATTCAAGTCACCTTAAAATGCAATTTTTTTTTGGAAGTCAGTATACTCAATTTACCTCATTTTTCGAGGATAATTGAGTATACTGACATCTACCAGTTAAATCAAATCTAAGAAAGCCCTGGAACCAAATCAAAGACCTTCATGAGAAACTTGGGTACCTAGAGTTTATTTAAAAAAATAGTAATTACAAAAACCTTGGAACATAATTATCTGACATCACTTTAAACTTGGTATGATAGATCGCAATTATGGTTTTCATAAACTTTTTACCACAAATAGGCTCTCAGTTCAAATACAAGTTCACTATGGACTAGAAATGGGTGGTTTGACTTGGCCAACAACTCCCTTAACAGAGATACTTTTTATGTTCCTATTTTGGGTTAAATTTAACACAGAATCTTTGAGCTCTTTCATGCACTGGTATCATACAAAGTTCATTTTATATACATTGGTGAGGGCAACTTGGCCAAGGAATTCCCTTTCCCCATATTTCAACCAGCCAGTCAAGGTCTTGATTTCATTAATGTCAGAATAGGCTACTTATAGTTAGTCCTCTGTTATAATCAGCTGTACTATGTGAGAATTCTGTTTCATATTCTGTCTCGTCGTCAATAAAGCCGAATCTAATTCCAGAATTCTGACTCTGTTACTGCTTTTCTGAACTAATATTATGATCTTTCTCTTTGCTGTTTTTCTTTTTTCTACCAATCATATCCGTTTTAAGTCTATCCTATCAGTATAATGGTATATACTTTCAACTGACGTTATATAGTTTTCGCCTGAATTCTTTTTCTGAGACGGCTGTTTTTTTATTATTACCACATGTTTTCGGAGATGACAGTGAGTGTGATTACGTCAACTAAGGCCTTTGTAAATGCACTAAGCTTACTGGTGGAGTAGGACTCTGTGCTTGGCTTGTCCACAGCTTTCTTTTTTACTATTTTTTCTAGTTACAAGAAAAGAACTGCTTTCTCAAAATCCTACGATTGCCCATTGTGGATTTACACTCATATTCATGAAAAATAGAAGCCTATATTTAAAGATGGACATGATAAAGGCTACAAAAAAGTGTTAGGGCTCAAAATAGTCACGCAGAACCTAATAATCCTGTGTTATAGCAGTGGGAGAGGCCATTTATGCATATACCCGATTTACCCCACGGTAAATTTCCGACAGACTCAATTTACCTCGGTTTTTTCAAACATCAATGAAACAAAAAGTCAATGAGTTACACAAAAATTATCTACTGGGGCAAAGAGAGTCTTTACTAAGGTACTAAAAGGCATCACAAAAAGTTTAAAATATACTATCAGAAAAGTGTCACGTGAAAGTTTCCAAAACAATTTTTTTCGTGAACAAAAAAAATTTCACATACAAACATCTAAAACAATTTTATCATTAGTAGGCAAGTGAGTTATACGCAATGAAATGGAAGCATAGGATATGAACTATTGTTGCTACAAAGTACAAACCATTCACTCAACATACAAAAAAGTTAGCCAGGTTTTTATACCTTGTACTCAATTAACCCCATATGCTCAATATACCCCACCCCCTACTTGATGGAAACAAACAAACATATGAAATGGGCTTCGCAGGTTCTGCTGTCATAACAGTCTAGTTACTTAGTTTTAAAAATTATAAATCAGTCTTAAACATAACACACTGTAACACAGAAATTTAACTGTAATAAAAACATTCGACCCTGGCAGTAACCGTACAGAGTTAAGGACAAATAAACTATCAAAAACACAGTACAATGGGAAAATAATTTAAAAAAAAACTGAAAACTTATTGCCAAGTTGAGTGTAGTCAGGAGTCCGCTGGGCATACATAAATCATAAGCTGATTTAACATTCAATTTCTGAATTTATGTTAAGAAAATACATGTAAGTTACATAGCAATTCAAACAAGGTACGGTGCCGGACGCCGGTATAATAGTACAAGTATATTTTGATTTTCCCGCAAAAAAAAAATCATACACAAAACACAAACAATAAACACAGAAGATTGGGGAAACTGGCAAAACCTTTATAGGGTCATTCCAAGCAAAAGTTGAATTCCATCAATTTTTTAAAAAGTGTAGTGAAAGTAATTTTTTTTATAAATTTTTTTTTCGAATTTTTTTTTGTAATTTTTTTTATAAAAAATTGCCTGAAATGTATGAATTTTGGTATAATTGACATATTTTGTGATGATTCCTGACACAAAGTGTGGTACAGTTATTTCATATGGAATTGACGCACTGGATTTAAGTTAATAAAGTTTAAATGTTTGCAGTGCTGTAGGACATTTCTTCACCCATTTAACTATTTATTACCAGAATTTTAAGAGATGATAGAGGCCGCTATTTTGAAGTGGAAAAATGTCCTGTAGTGTCATGTCCTGTAGTGTCACATACGATATGCACATTATTGGCATGGATTTACAGTGTTACATTAAGTAACTTGAGCAACACATAGAGGGGTAGTTCAGCTACTGCACCAGAAAATATTATGGGCTCCTACTGTACCGTCGCAAAAATTTAAAGCACAACACAACGTACTGTTAGTGCATGGTGGATTTTCCGTCCTGTAGTGTCACGCTATATTTTACTATATTTTTCTTATCTACCAAGTAAGTTCTGGGTGTAACTTTTGTTCAATTTTTTACATATTCAATAAAGCAACTGATTGGACAATGAAACAAAACATGTAGCTGAAAATGTAAAAATATATTGCATCCAACAACTTGCAAAATTTCTTGAATTGTTCTGAAGTGTCACTTGGAATAGCCCTATAAAGGTTTAATACATTTAAACATACATGCACCAGTT